TTCATCAGATGCAGGACAATCTTCGAGTCTCTCAAACTGCCGCTAGAGTTAACCAGAAGATAGAACTTGAAGCCACTATGTGGCCAATGACATTCCAGGTGATGCAAACCTTAGATCAGTATCTGCAGAAAAACACCAGGTGTTTGCCAAGAGTTCAGTTCTGTCATCTCCAGATGTCCTTCGGATCTCTAAGGCTTGATGCCTAAAACAAGGATCCCCCCTTGGTGCGATTTTTACAGTGTGAACACATTGGCTACAACATTGAGCCACTGGTAACGTCTTTAAGGCATCCTGTGTGTAGACTGACTTTCACTCAACACTTTGACGGACTGCTTTGGTTCCGACCCAATGTCACTCAAAGAGCCGCTGGTAAACTCTCCTGTGGCCTTTTCTAAGTATGCTTTTAAACTGAAACATTCAGTTATCCATATTCACCATTGGTCTGCATAAGGAACACTTCACATTCCCTCTGGGTGCTTAGCTGTTTTTTGGTATTAAGTGTATATATTTAGTTAATCTTAAGACCAACTTTTCTGATTCTCCATCAAACTGTCTCACTTAACTCATACTGTACTCTATAACATACTCATATATATCAATAAATCAGCATTGGCAGTAGAAATACTAAAAATATAATCATATTTTATAGATTAACCAAAGATTTGGGACAATTTTATTAAGAGCATGTATAAAAATAATAAATAAAAAAAACATTGAAAAGGTTCTGCCACTGCTTTTTTTAGCCTGGTTCCAAAAATATCCAGAAACATTTGATCTTTTAACCTTGGTGCTCTGGTTGAAGTGGTGTAAAACGTCACACAAGTAAGGTGATAACGGTCCCCTAAGACGCAAGAAGTAAAAGTTGCACTTAAAATAGACGAGGGGCGCTTTATTTAAGAAGGTCAATACAGGTGTCATTTTGGGCAGAACACAGGCTGCTGAGTTTTTAAATAACCAGCAGGTGTAAAAGAAATGCCTGCTTACGGTTTAAGCTAGGATTATAGTATCTAGTTGAGTTAATGGGTTCGTGTTTCCTTATAAAAACATCAGCTAAGCTAATCTTCTTCCAAGTTCCAGAGTGGATCCATTTCCACAGAACTGTCCATCAGCATCGACTAAATAAGTTTCTACTTCTGTTGTCTATTAATAGGGCGGAGCTTCTACAGTTAATCCACATCTCTAAGGGGATTAACACGAGATAAATATAAACCCATTACTGCTTTCTGAAGACAGACCTGTAAATCATCAGCAAACAGCGATAGAAGAGTTTTACTATTTTAAAAATGAGCCATAAATAGCTTTTTCCAGTTAGAAGGGAATGGGACCAGAAAAGGGGCCTTGAGGTACGCCTCTGCCATAAAGTATTCTTTCACAATTGTTTAAGTTTAACTTTGAATATGAACAAGGTGAATTAAACAGCACCAGGAAAATCAAGTTACCAGAAAGGAGATATTCTAAAAGGAGAAACCCTCAAATTATCGTTTGTTCAACAGATTTTCTTTAACAGATTGTCATTACCTTTTCCGTTGTTACAATTTCTTACCTGCAGCTCTTTGCGTCACCAAACCTATGAAGAGTGTGGAGGTCCCTGAGACTCAGGTGGCCACGTTTGAGTGTGAAGTGTCCCACTTCAACGTGCCCTCCACCTGGCTCAAAGACGGCGTGGAGATCGAGATGAGCGAGAAGTTCCGCATTGTGGTTCAGGGAAAACTGCACCAGCTTACCATCATGAACACCAGCAGGGAAGACTCTGCCGAGTACACCTTCATCTGTGGGAACGACCGCGTGTCTGCGACGCTCACCGTCAACCGTAAGACTTGTCACACATCAATGACCACTGCTCCGGTTTTTAAATCTTTAAAGTTAACGTGGGTATCCTTTAAAATGTTTCCAGCCGTCCTGATCACCTCCATGCTGAATGACCTGAACGCTCAGGAGAGAGACACCATCACCTTTGAGGTCACTGTCAACTACGAGGGCATCAGCTACAAATGGCTGAAGAACGGCGTGGAGGTCAAATCATCAGAAAGGTGTCAAGTCCGCAGCAAGCAGCTCACGCATTCACTTACGATCCGCAACGTTCATTTCGGAGACGGAGGAGAGTACCAGTTCGTAGCAGGCTCTGCTGCATCCTCTGCTAACCTCTTTGTTGAAGGTAAAAAAAAAAGCTCTTTGGTGCTAAAGACTTTTATTCGCTGTTCAGACTTCCCCTAAATCTGCATACCCAATGTCCTGGTTTCAGCTCGTGTGATAGAGTTCACCAAGAAGATTAAAGACATAAAGATAACTGAGAAGAAGAAGGCGGTTTTTGAGTGTGAGGTTTCTGAGCCCAACATCCAGGTGATATGGATGAAGAACGGCCAGGAGCTGGACGTGTCTGAGGAGAGGTCTGCCTATGATAGAACATCCGAAACAGAAGCTTTCAAAGCTACAAGATCAGCTGGAAATCATCTGCATTGCTTTTTTTTCCACAGGTATGTGGTGCAAGCTGAGAAGTATGTCCATCGTCTGATGATCCAGACTGTTCGGATGTCAGATGCCGGAGAGTATTCTGTGGTGGCCGGATCCAGCGTCTCCAAGGCCCACCTGACGGTAGAGGGCCGTGATGTCAGGATCGCCGAACCAGCAGAGCGAGAGATCACGGTAGGACGGTTTTCTAACATGATGCACGCCTCCAAACCAGAGATTGGTTTTCTAAAGAAATCTGAACCTCCTTCTCACCTTCCGCAGGTTCTAGAGAAACACAGAGCAACCTTTGAGTTTGAGGTGAATGAGGACGACGTAGAGGGTCGCTGGCTTAAGAACGGCGTGGAGATCCAGTTCTCGGTGGAGGAGAGGTTCAGCTACGTAGCCATCAGGAAGATGCACCGTCTCACTATCTCTGAGACCTACAGGAGCGATGCCGGGGAATATACCTTCATCGCTGGCAAGAACAGGAGCACCATGAACCTCAGAGTCAACAGTAAGTCAAGACGTTATTGAACTCACAGTGGAGAAATTCACGTCACATCAACTCAATACTCAAGAGAAGTTGCCAGAAGAAGAAAAAGGTGCATTAGATATGTACAAATATATACAAAAAAGAAATAAGGCAGAAATTTAAGGTGACTTATCGACATTTGGATTTGGCGTTGTGCATTAAAGAGGTAACTATTACAGCTGAAGTCTCTTTTTTAACACCAGGTCTCAGATCAGACCAGAATTCTGATCCTACTAGATCTCCCACTGGCCGTCAATTTAACGGGTAACATTTTTCCCAATGGAACGCATGGATAGTGATGATTTCCTCAACTATAATGTTTCTTGGGTGTGATATAAACCCATTGTGGTTATGTAGACCTTAAATCAGGTCTAATATATATTTTTTAAAGGCTTCTTTGTATGCTATTATTATTTGTGGTCTAAATTTGTATAAAAAATAATCAGTAAAATAAATAAGACTGTTTTACCACACAGGTTTTGAAGTTTAAAATTACAATTTTATTAGTGGAAATTGAATGATTACCCCTAATATTTTACATTAATGACAAACACCATATGAGCGTTTTTTCGCGCAGCGCTGATGCTTTTGGCGCTGTTTTCTTTACCTCACCAAAGCTGCTCTTCAGCGGTGGAGGGGCTGGTAAAACAGTTGTAGTTGGCACCCAACTACAACTATTTTACCAGTTCAAGGATAAAATCTCTGCGTTAGACGGAACTCCTGAACAAAACCAACGCGTTTATAGCTGCTATGTCCAAGAGATCATAAAATACAGCTACAAGCCACTTTCTCGTTGGAGCTTTTATAGAATACTTTCTAATCGTCTCGATCCGACGCATCCACGCCGACCTCTGAGTGATAATATTATACCAGGGGCTCTTGTTTGGCTTTTGGGCCTCTTTCGTCTGATGGGTCACTGATGCGTCTGCGTTTTGCCGGGGATAGGCGATCATCCTCAGACTCACTGTCAGAATCTGAGCCGCTTCCTAAACCGCTTCCTACCCAGCTGTATTCATTGGTCTCTCCCTCTCCGCCTGAATCGCTATCATCAATATCTTTAAGCATTTCTAACGCCTGTTTTCGCTGTTAGATTTATTTTGAAAGCTATTTTTCCACGTCAGTCAAAGAGTTCTAGGTAGAATGTTGGTTGCTAGGCAAAGGTACGAACGTCAATCAGCCACTGGAAGAATTTACAATGCAACTAATAGAGGCGTCAAAATGACGGCTGTGGGAGATCGAGGTAAAATTAACCACATTTATTTTAAGTTTTTATTTTGTTAAAAAAAAGTAAGTGAAAATTAAGGAAATAAAGAAACAGGAGAAGTCGGTTAGCAGAGCAACATATGATTAATGTAAGTAACGCTCTTTCCCTTTAAAATCTAAGAACCGTCAAACTGACTGCATCGGGGTTCTAGTGTTCCCAGGATTTTTGAACAGGGTATTAAATAGTTATTGCACAAGGTATTGCAGTTTTAGTGAAGTATTGTAAAGTCAACACAGAGGTGTCTGTCTTGTAAAAAAAGAAAGAATAAAAAGTTAGAAGTGAGAACCTGATCTTGTTAACCAAACCTTTAACCCTTTTAGTCCCAGAGCCTCCTCAAGTCCTCCGTCACATGGAGCCCCAGTCGGTTGAAGCAGGAAAGCCGGCCCGCTTCTCTGTGGAGGTCAGCGGCGTTCCTCAACCGCAGGTCTCCTGGTACAAAAACTCCCAGGCTCTGTCGCCAGGCTTCAAGTGCAAGTTCCTGCACGACGGGAATGAGCACACCCTGCTTCTGATCGAGGTCTTCCCCGAGGATGCCGCCATCTACAACTGCGAAGCCAAGAACGACTATGGCACGGCCACCAGCACTGCCACGCTCAACGTGGAGGGTAAGACGGGATGTCCTGCCTAAAGAGCACAGAAATCTGTTAATGTAAATGTTGTGGATGTGTACTGATCCTGTTTGTGTTCTGCAGTGTCAGAGGTGGTCTCCCCAGACTCTGCTGCCCCCATCTCTCCGCCCGTCATCGTCTCCCCCATCTCCGACACCTCAGCCAGAGAGGGAGAACCAGCTCACTTCCAGTGCCGTGTCCGTGGAGATGGTGAGAACAAAACCTACGATTGACAACAATGAAACTTTAAACCAATCAGAAACGTTGAGGTATAAATTACAACCAGGAGCCACAAGCGGCTGGAGAGTGAAAGAGTTCAAGTCTTAAAACTAAAGTTAATAAGCCTAGTTAACAATTAAATGTAGGTTTATGAACAAAAAATGTAAGTCCAAGTATCAGCATTAATGCCTCTAAGGTTATGTTGGAGCATAAAAAAAAAAAGTCCCAGGCGAAGGTAGATGAAAGTCACCGTGCACTTAACAAGTTCATCGTTTACCAGAATCAATAAGGGAATCGGAATCGTGAAAATCTTATCAATTCCCAACCCTACTGTCTATGTCACTGAAAGGGGGGTCGTTAAAGGCAATTGTTGGCCTGGCTGAATAGGCGAGGTCTTCTGTTCCCTGTAAAGGGGCTGAGGGTCAAAGTCCAGTAGATTGAAGTTTTTTGGAAGGACAATGACCTGAATGACTGAGAATCTTCACCAGCAACAGTCTCAACAGTCTCTGTGGAATAAACAGTTTCTGTTGTGTTAAGTCTAATTCTGTGCTGATATCTTGTAAATCTCTTTGGAGGAAAGGTTTAACCTCCAAACTGTGCTTCTCCTGTCTCAGACGTGAAGATCAGTTGGTTCCACAAGGAGAAGGAGATCAAGCAGTCCGACTTCTTCCGGATGTCTCAGTTCGACGACAGCTGCCAGCTGGAGATCTCCAGAGTTTACCAGGAGGATGAAGGCGAATACACCTGCGTGGCCACGAACAACGCCGGCAAAGTCTTCTGCTCTGCCACTCTCACACTGGATGGTAGGTGTCTCCTAGGAATGAGTAATGAAAGCTAGACATTCTAGATCTATATCTAGAAAACAGAACTTAGAACAAAGCCCGAGTTATTTATAGATTAATTATTTTACTCTTTCTTTTTTAAAGCTTTGCTTTGTTTAGGAGACGATATAAATCCTTCATAATTTAACATAATTTAAACCAAAACTCAGAAACGTTTCACCTCCTGATGGAGCAGCTTACACAACCACCTTCAGCAAACTCTAAGAAGCAATTTCTGTCTGATCTTATAGCTGCTCAGCTTGTGGAGGAATTCTGATCTGATCCATCTTCTTTCCAATGTTGCTTCAGTTCATGAAGGACCTGACAGGACTTAATGCCACAAGGGTCTGGGCTTTGGATGGTTGTCCTGCTGTAGATTTGCTGCTGCGTTCAGGTTCCTTGTCCTGTTAGTGGCCCAGTTGAGGTCAAACTTTAGATGGATGAAATCAGATCTGAGCCTAGACTAGTTTTGAAAGGAGTTGATGCTTGATTTTTGGACAGCCAAACTCATGGGCCCTCCGCCGCTTTGCCCTGTTGAGGTGCTGGAGCTGCTTTGTTGGTTTTGGTTCCCCCTCTAATGGTCCAGTGCCTTCCTGCTTTGGGCACATGCCTCCTGATTGCTGCGGTTCCTTTAGATCAGAGGTCTGCAACCTTTAAAATCCAAGGAGCCATTT